GATTGTTCCCTCACAGTAAACTCCAGGCCTCATAGACGCCTACTCCTTAGGATTCATTCAGAGGGGTCCTCCCTGGGCATCCCCTTCTTCCTCAGAGGCCACCTCTTAACAGTATTGCTCAGAGACCTTCTCTTTCAAGACACGTATGAACTCTCTTCTGAATTTTACTCATTTCTCCTCTCTTTAACTCAAGGAATCTTAACCTCAGTCTTTTTTAACTCAAAACCCAAGTGCTCATTATTACTACATAGCCAGTTGATTCACGGTTCCAATTGTGTCTGATTTGTAACCCATTTTTAAGACTAGTAAAATGCTATTTGTGACTTGCTGCCATTTCTTTTAAAGATCCAGATGTTCCTTAGCCTATACGTTTGTCAGAACGCTAAACTGAGGAATTATCAGATATGGAAGCGACATTAAACTGTTTATCCTGACACCATGAAATATCCGTGGGCTTGAAAACTCAACACTTCAACAGTATCAGAGAGCCTTGTTCACATGCCTTTGTCTCCTCTCTGGCGGCCTGTCCCCAGAAGATGGGCAGCGGCAGGTGCGGTCCCTTCTCCCCACCCTGCCGGCTGCTTCTGCTCTCCATCACCACAAACCCACGATTGGCAGGCAAAGTTCAAACCGTTCTTTAGCAACAGGTAGTCAATCACTTATTTCGCACGAAGACAGGAAGGACTGTCTGTAAAATATTTTTGGAGGTCTGCCAGTAGCATTGAAGTCACTTTCAGTCTGGAGGGCAGCCACGGTTCTTTAACACCGAAGACGTAAATATGGGGAATTCATCAAACCTCTTCTTAAATAGAGGCTTTGTCACCTTAAAAAATTAAGTGGTTGGGGCGCCTGGGTGGCTTAGTCGGTTAAGCGTCTGACTTTCGCTTAGGTCATGATCTCGCGGTTCGTGGGTTCGATCCCCGCATCGGGCTCTGTGCTGACCGACAGCTCAGAGCGTGGAGCCCGTTTCAGTCTGTGACTCCCTCTCTCTCTGACCCTCCCCTGCTCACGCTCTCTCTCTCTCTCTCTCTCCTAGAAATAAATAAAACATTTAAAAAAACCCACATACGTGGTGATATTATAAAAAAAAAAAAAATTAAGTGGTTGGACCAGAAATTCCAAAGTCTATATTTCAGGCAGTGTAAAGTTTACGAGATGCTGTCTATAATTTAAGAAACTGAGTTCTGTAGCAAACAAAAACATCTGTCATGTCTAAAGATTAGGTTTTGAATGAGAAAATGGTGCTATTTATTTTGAAAGGTAATTAAGACCTTGTTCCCTGTGACAGAAAAATACAGATACAGATTACGTACATTAAATTACCTATTACCGATCTGAGGAGTTCGATTAATGATGACTGTACTCCAGAGAGAAGCACTATGCAAAACTCTTAGAATCATTGGTTTCCATGTGCCTAAGCCCTTGCAAAGACCACACCCATACCGTGATTTCCGGCTTTGGTGGGGGGTGGGGGTTGCAAACAATTACTGCCTTAATTCTTATACTATCAAGCTCAAGAAACAGTCCACCAGTTACATCAACAAATCCTTAGTTTAATCAATTAGCACAGAGACTTGGATAAACCTCTTTTATTGAACAAGATGATGCCCTGCTATCTTCTGCTACTCCACTATTATTTTTTAAAAAGTGCATCCTGGGGAAGCACATCTGGAAAAAAAAGTCATCAGGTTCAATCTGTTGGGGGAATAAAAGGGGGAAGCTTCTTGAAAAACTGACTTTAAAAAATGTAAATGTTTGCACTACTGAAAACAGCATGATTGGTACATCTTTAGAACCTTCACAGCAGGAATAGTACCTTGAAAACTATGAAATAAAGGACAGGCCACACTTCCACACTGTCTGGGTTATATTCTTTTTGTGTCTAACTCTGTTGAATTTTAAACAAATTCTGAGTTCTTTCCAGTATTTTAACCTAGGCTAACATTTGTTGAAAGAAAAATTAACTTTTTGGCTTGGGGATAGAATCAGTCAAGGTCTTCCACATTCTTCAATATTCAGTTACATCTAGTTCAGAAACACACATTTCTGACCTTCAAATAATAATCAACAAAAATAATATAGCTTGACATAACTGTACTCGCAGCAAACGTGGCTGAAACACACCTTGATGATTCATTAGTGAGGGATGTTCTATAGACTCATATACACGCTGGCTGCCCCCTGAGAGGTAGCAAAGGTGCCCTTTGTTCTTAATCCAGTGCTATCTTGTTAGAAAACCAGTCCTATTCATTCCTCTACTCTAGCAAATAAAATTGGAAGAGGATTGTAAAATTCTCAAGTAGACATGACTTAGCCATTCCAAATCATTCAATTTTTCCACAAAACGTCCAAAATTGTTGTTAGAATAAACTCAAATTTGCTGTGTAATTCCGCAACCTTTCATTTTATTCCGAAAGAGCAAAAACCAACAAAATGAGAGGGGCCAAGATCTGATTTCCTTTGGGGTTAAGGGCAGAATACGTTGTATTTACATTTTCACATGCACCGTGTGGAGTGCGGAGACTGAATTACCATTGTCCCTGAAGATGATACATTTGAGGCCAAAATAATTATGATAATGATATTACTATTATAATAATAATTATTACTATGTATACACATTTACATATATGTGCCTAGGTGTACATAATACTGTTTTTATTTTCGTCCTGATCCTCTGACTTGAAGGCTTCTATTTTTTATTTTTAACTGTGGAATTATCAATACTTCAATGGAAAATTATTTCTCTTTGGAAAACCGTTCAACTTCTTTGTTAGGCAACCTTGTATACGTTTCTTGTTCTGCCTTGTCCCCATCCTCACGGCCCTAGGCCGGACCGAGGTCGCTTTCCCTCCAGGGAACAGTGATCAGAATGCCACCCTTGCCTGGGCAGCCACCGCATCCCAATCTGGGACGCCCTGGGCGGGTACCAGCGTGCGCCTGCCCTCACACCCCCACACCGAAGGTTACACCCATCACCGTAGTGGAAGGTAGGCGCGCGATCCCTCCCAACGGCCCCCCAAAGAGCCGGTCTCCGTGGCCACGCCCCCACTTCGAGGGGAGGAAGGCGCGCGCAGAGATCCGCCGGCACCTCGGAAAAGGGCAAGCCCGCTGCGGTCGCGGCCAGGTGGCGGAGGGACCCGGCGACCTGCCGCCTGGGGCTGCCCCGCAGCTGGGGGCCGCGTCGGCCCCCCTCGGCCCCGCCCCCAGCCTCGCCCCCGGCCCGCAGCAGGCCGGTCGGCGCACGCGCGTCGGTGCGCCTAGCCCGGCGCCCTCCCAGACGACGCGCTCCTGCCTGGAAGACGCTGGCAGGGTGTGCGCGCTCGGGGGGCGGAAGGGACGCCCCGGGGCTGCGTGACAGAGGCGCGAGCGAGCGTGCACGCGCGGGCCGGACCGTCCGGGGACCCCTGGGCTCCATCCTCCTTTCCTCCGGGCCGCGGGGCCGGCCGCGGGGTGGGGTTTCTCCTGGCGGGGGGCGAGCGAGACCGTTAGGCTGGAACACCGGGAGACGGTGCCGGCCGCCACCCGCGCCGCAATAAAAGCCTCTCGCGGCTTCCCGCCCAGCCAGCCTCGCTCTGATTGGTCGCCAAGGGAGAGGGACCCGAGCTGGCTGGAGGCGGCGGCCCGGGCTGCTCCCGTGCCGCCCGGGGAGCGCCCGCCCCGCGCGCTCCCCCACCCGCGGCCGGCCGTCTAGGGCAGCGGCGGCGGCACCAGGCAGCGGCCTCCGGGACTCACCGTCCCCTCCGCCCCGCTCTCGCCCGGCGCCTTCCGGCACACGCACCCCGCCCGGAATACGCGCCCACCCCACCCAGCTCTCTGAGGCCCCTGCTCCATTTCTTCTCCCTCCCCGATCGTCCACGCCAGAGCATAAATCCCTGGGTGGGGTGGGGTGGGGTGGGGTGGGGAGAGCAGCTGGCGGGGAGGTTGGGCGCGCACAGAAGAATCTCCAAGGGAGGCCGGGGTGGAAATGCCCTAAATGAAATGACCCTCCCTCCCTCCCGGCCGCCGACGGTTTTGGGGCGGCGGCGCATCCCTCGGCTGTCTCCCCCTCAGCTCCCTATTGTTCGCACTTTGCAAGGATCAGGGAACCTCGCCCAAAGAAAGGAGGCTGGGGCGAGGTGCTGCGGGTGGCTACCTGCCATTCTTCTCGCGCGCCGTGCAACACGGGGCTCGCGGTGCGTGTGAAGGCACACGCGCGCGCACACACGCGCACACACACACACACACCCGGCAGCCCGATCACGCCCTCCTCGCCCTCCGCCCCTCCGCACTTCCTCCTGTCAAAACGCGGCGCTCGGCCCTCCCATCCCTCTGTGCTCCCGGCCGAGAGCAGGCTTTGCAAGTAACCAGCGATTTGGCAAATGAAAACCTAACGTCATATCGACGAGGGTGCAAGAACGGCCACACAGCCCTGAGATTCTGCCCGTTTTCGCCCCATTTTGCAAACCGTTATCCAGCGCGGGCGGGGGCGGGGGAGGTGGGGGGCTGGGCGCGACGGCGACGAGCCCCACTTTATCAGACCCGGGGAAATAACGATGGGGCGGCCGCCCCGGCCTTATTGTTCACTCTCCCCGGGGCCGGGGCTCCCGAGCCCCTGCCCCGCGGAACCCGAGCTCGCGCGGCAGCCCCGCCCCGCCGCCCGCGTCGGGAAGGAGCGCTGCCCTGCACCGGCGCGGCCACGGCGTCCCCGGGAGCGTCCCCGGGAGCCGCCGGCTCCGCTCCCCGCGCCGCGGGCACACGAAGTGGGAAGGGCGGGCGCGCCGGGGGCGCGGCCGGCGCTCGTCGCGCGGGGAGGCAGCCCGGATCCGGCGCAGCCCGGGGGAGCGCGGGGCTCGGCGGGGCAGCAGGGGCGACGCGCTCCTTCCTCGGCTCAACCACAATGACCACCCTTAGCATTCCACGTAAAGCCACCCCAAATAGCAGTATCCCCGCGGGGGGGAGGAGGGAGGAGGGGTCGATCAGTCCATCAGACTGAGGATAATCATAATCTGAAAATGTACCTGCAGTTCCCAGGAAAAACAAAGTCCAGATGAGATCCTTAGTTTGCAGCATTGTAATCTGCTGGCCGGGAGGGACGTTCTTGCCGCGGTAAATTCTGTGCCCCCTCCCCTGGCAGAGCGCGTGGACGGCGGCAGAGCCACAGACCTAGGGGCAGACAATTGCCAGGCTGAGTACGATTATTTTTGCAGAATTGCTTCCTGCCAGCGGCTTGCCGAGCTGCGTTCACGCGCGGATCGGAGAATGAGTGACAGTCCCAGCCTCAGCACACTCGCAAGTCGGAGATCCTTGCGCTGGCCCGGGTTCGCTTTGATGGAACTGGGGATGGGAGCGGGGGGCGGGGGTGAGAACCTCACTGTGTCCTTCCACCACGCCGGCCACAAATAGTGCCGAACATCAAGGAGGTAAGGGAGACCGGGGAGGCAGATGCGGCCGCCTGCAAAACGCGGCCTGGAGCCGCCGGAGGAGTCGGGCTCTTTCTCACGCAGTCTTCAGGCAGAGCTGGGGTTTCTTCTTTTCACACTTTCCCCCCCACGCCTCCGCGGTCCCTCCTGCCGCCCAGCCTTCCTTAGACGGGAAGGCGGATATTTTAATAACTAGCAAATAATAAATAGAAAATATTAGGCTTGGTTAGGTTTTCAAAGTTGTCCAATCTCTCCATTTAGATCCTAAGATCCTTGAAACACAGGATAGCCTAGGACTTTTTTATTTTTTATTTTTTTAAGGGCAGGAAATTAGAAATTTGGAGAGGGATGGAGACAGACGGCTGGTGCAGGGTTTTGCTTTGGTTTTGTTTGTTTGTTTGTTTGTTTGAAACTGGCTATGAAGTTTACTCTCCCACAGAGTGGCAACAGATCTCAGGGGAAGGAGGTGGGAAGCTACTGAAGTTCGAAGAAAACACAGATGTTTGAAAGGAATTTCCAGAAATAACCGAAGGAAGTGTTTTCTTGTTTATGAATGCTGAAATCTGTGGTCTCTTGAGGGAGATCACTAACCTTTTACGTAGATTTTATGGTATAGGCAAGATATTAGATATTAATTTTTCTTCTAAAGGCACAGAACCTCAATTCTTAAACCTCCGCATTTAGGATATCACTGAGGTACGGACAAAGGGTTTAGATCATCTTACAATTGTATTTTATACAGTAAGGGTGAGGAGCACGGGGGAAATAAACATGTCCCAGCACCTGAGCAAAGCTTGAGTGTTTAAGGAACAAAAGCTGAGGAAGAATCAGGAGCACAAAATGTTCTAGATGCTAGAATAGCCTATTAGCCCAGCACAGTGACCCTCCCAGAGAAAGGGCTGCCTGCCACGTTCAAAGCACCAATGCGCTAATATTACCAAATACTCCCTTTTTCTTTAAAGGTCAGGCTCGCCACAGTTGTATCACTCTTTAAAACCCCATGCTTTCCTGGCCAAACAGCCAATCTCCATTAACAGAGAGGCTGGTATCTCCTCCCTGTCTCCTCCGACATGTTAGATCACCAGAGCACACCAACATGCTATGATTTCTGGGACCCCTAAAAAATAGTTCCTCTCCCAAATCAATCTTCCCAATGTTACCAATGTTATTGTTTAAATATTTATCTCATACCAATTATGAGTAATTCAAAAATACAGAAAAGTAGAAAGAAGGAACTAGAAATACCCCACAAACCCCAGATGCCCACAGATTTTGTCTTTGTATATGCATATGATTTTTAGAATTGAGTAGCAACTGGAATCTTGTTTATTTTCCTTAATATTTCATTATAAGCATTTTCCCAGGCCATCAAAAAGGCTTTCTAAATATGTTTATAGCGATTCAATATTTCTATGTATCAATGGTTCTTCAATGGTTTCCCCTTGTTTATATGGTTTCCAAAGTTTGATCATATAAATGATGCTTTTTGAATGTATTTCAATAAATATTTGTTGAACAACCACTGTTTTTAGTCCTGTGCTGGATATAGCGGGCTATGTAGATTTTTCTAATGGTGGCTATATTTAAGCATATTTAGCTTCACATACAAGCTTCTACTAACAAGTAAATTACTTCTACTAACATATAACATTAAGTCCCATGTAATAGACTCTTCCCAAGAAAGAGATTTTGATAGCAAGGAAGATGGAAAGAATAAGCCCAAGGGAAAACGAGAAGAAGGGAAGAAGGAAAAAAGGGAAAGTTGGGATACCCAAAATAAAATCGTCCTATGTCTAATTTTACCAAGAGTGAGAGACACACCCTTCTCTGAAAACTTCCCTCCTTATAGCCCGTGTCAGTAGAATTAAAAGATTTCTATTTTTTTCCTCCCCAAATGTCCCTATTTTTAGCTTTTTAACGTAGGCAGGTGTAGAAATCCTATCTGACTTCAGCATGATTGAATTTCTTTTTTTTCTCTCTCTCTCCAGCCCCTCCCTGCCCTGTGTGTCTGTTGATCTCTGTTGTAATGACTCATTCTAGAATTCTGCCCCACAGTGATTCCAATCCACATGGCATGGGTCTTTCCCACGTTGTTTCAACAGGATCCATCACTTGTCTCCAATTCGTTCTTTCTCCACTTATCAATGCCTACCTCTGTGAGCTCTGCGAGTCGGTCCCTCCCAGAACCTCACTTTGAAATGGGACAAAACTGTGGTCCTCCCCAATGTGTCTTCCAGGAGGAAGTCCTCGGCTGTCAGATACACATTAATGAGCATCTATCCTGTGAACATCTGGGGGGGGCGGGGGGGAGGACAGAAGAAGGAGCCACTGAGGACTGTGCTTTAGAGAAGGAGTGGACTATCAAGGCAGCCCCAGCAAGGGGTGACAGGTCCTAATCTAAGGCAGTGAATGGGGAAGAAAGTCAACAGGAGCAGATTTGAGAAAGATTTCTAAGACAAAAACAGCAGAACTGAAGAACTTCCTGAAGATCGTGTCAAAGTTCCTTTCATTTATTCAACAAATACTTATTAAGTATCAGCTAAGTGCCTGTCACTGGGGATACAGCTGTGGACAAAACAGAATCTTTGCGTCCATGGGCTCCCATTCTTATGGGGAAGATAGTAATAAATTGATAAATATCTAGTATGCTTATGGTGATGCGTGTTAAGGAGAACTATAAATAGGGGTATGGGGGTAGGGAGTTCTGGGGTGGAGAGGGATTAGCATTTTGCATAGGGGAGCTAGGGAAGAGGTCCCCATCTCAGAGAGGTCTGAGAGACAGAGGGCACACCAGAGAGCATCAATGTTTAAGTGGTGGCCAGAAGAAATTGCCAAAGAAGTGGTGAAAATGGGGTCAGAGGGATGGAAAGAGAATTGAAACAAATAAGATTTTTGAACGAAAAGTTCCCTGGATTTGACCACTGGAAAGTCACTAGCAGACAGAGCCTTACAGAATGGTGGGGGAAGGAAGACATCACTGTCCCAGGAACAAAAGGGTGGCTTGTCCAGGATGGGGAAGCAGGGAGTGTAGACCACTCTCTCGAGGAGCAGTATGGTAATGGGGCAAGGACAGGACAGAACGCTTGAGGGGAAAGGAGGCTTGAAGGGAGATCCTCATTTCTTCTTTCTTAATATGAGGGTCTCTGTGTTAGGTTCTAAAGTACATTCCATCCGTTGCTGAACCCCTCACCACCACCACAACCTAAGAGTCTAAGTTAGATCACTTGAGAAATGAATCAGTCTAGAGCAAAGTGCTCTCACTCGTACTGCTCCTCACTTAGGGTTTCTTTCCTGTTGGTGCTGAAAAGGAGACCCCAGGCATGGTCACAGGGCTCACAGATACCCCAGAAATGGTCCTTCTCATTTGGCCTGGGCAAAATGCATCTTGGGAAAAAAAATTCCAGCCCCAAATCACTTGATCATATATGCACGAGCTTACTTCTGAACTCTCTAGTCTATTCTATTTTTCTATAGTCTGTCTTTATACTGATACCATATTGTATTGATTACCACAGCTTTGCAGTGAACTTTTAAATCAGGAAATGTGAGACGTCCAATGTTGTTCTTTTTCAAGATTAATTTGGCTATTCATGACCCCGTGCAAATCCATATGAATTTTAGGATGACTTTTTCTATTTCTGCAATATAAATGTCATTGGCATTTTGGTAAAGATTGATACCTGGGCTAGTATTAGAGCCTTATGGACACCTTGGAGATGAATATGCTTTAGACATCTCTCTGCACAGGAAACTGAGTCACAAGGAACTATCTATCACCATGTGCCCACTTGGATGAGCTGCTCTTTTCAGTGTAGATATGGAGAGATGAAACGGGATCCAGTCACAAGAATCAGGCCGTGAAATGGGTGGCCAATGTAGAGAAGTTACAGTGAGCTAGCAAAGGAAAGATGGGTTTAAATGATTTCTTGGCTCTGAACTGAACTCGGACCCTGGGCTGCCTTAATTCCCTGTTTTGTCCTTTTAAAAAAATCCTCTGAGGGGCGGCTGGGTGGCTCAGTCTGTTAAACGCCAGTATTCAGCTCAGGTCATGATCTCACGGTTCATGGGTTCGAGCCAAGCTTCAGGCTCTGTGTTGACAGCTCAGAGCCTGGAGTCTGCTTTGGTTTCTGTGTCTCCCTCTCTCTCTCTGCCCCTCCTCCACTCATACACTGTCCCTCTCCCTCTCTTTCTCTCTCTCAAAAATAAACAAGTATTAAAAAAACATTTTTTTTTATCCTCTGAAACAGGTGATTTAGCAGACTGGAGAAAGGAGCCAAGATCCCCGTGTCATGATCTTATAAATCACAGAGTATGACTGAGCTAATGGTGGAGACATAATAACTTCCTTTCTCCCTCTTATACAGTCTCCTACATATCCCAGTGGCAAAAAGTGAAGTGGGTGAGTGCGCACATCCTAAAACGTGACATTCCAGGTTCGGGTCCTGTAGCTTCTCCACCTGTAGACTCTGTGGCTCTGGGCAAATTATTTCACCTGCAAACCTTGTTTTTCTTGCTCATAGAATGGGTTTAGAGCAGTGTCTGTCTTTCAGACTTCTTATGAACGTTAATTACAATAATGTACGCAGAGGGTTCAGTGCAGGCTTGACACTCTTTCATGCAATGGGTATACACTGAACACCTATGAAATACACTGCGTTACCAGCGGGGGATAAAAACACGATGAACGGAGCACACGTGTTTACCAGGCTTATCAAGAAGACCAACAGCCAAACAAAGAGGCCAAAACCATTATAAATGGTAATTAGAATCCTGGAAGAAATAACCAGGATTCTCTGAATAAAGAATGACAGCAGAGATCTGTGTGGCATCAGGGCAGGCTTCCCTGA